TTGAATTCCATACAACTGTCACCTGTGTAAAACCAATAGATTGCATGGCAACTGATGTTTAGTATTAATCTAAAAGATAAGCAAGGATTTTTCAATATTATTGAATTGCATACGAATGTAATCTGTGTAAAACCAATAGATTAAGTATGTATTTTTATTAGAATCAATCAAGAAAAAATTATTTATTTTAAAGGGTTTGATTAGTACGTTAAAATATTCTAAAGGTAACACAAGTGTGAAACCTAAATAGCGCTAAATTATCCTAATTCTATCTTCTATCATTTAATTAGTGCTARGTAGAGTGCAAAGTAGAGTGAAGGCATTTAGAGTTATTTTACTTCRCCAGTAAAAGAAAAGTCAGCTTAATACATATTAGTCAAATCCAACTAATGGTCTATCATCAATGCTGCATTCTGATTGGATGAGCTTTGAAAACCAAAACTCTAAATTTAACTTTGATTCAAAACTTGTTTGCTTCTATATATTTGACCAACTAGTTGGATTAGACTAAAACAATTAGCCCTGTTGCCCTCATGGCCTGTGAGTCAATAAGCCCATAATTAGCCTTCACCGAGATAGTCTATTGACCCATTGTTTTCATTTGTTTTACTTAGACTGTTTGTCAGTTACTAATTCGAAAACTTTCTTTCATGGTTCCTGTGAAATAAAAAATACTACTCAAAATGTAATCGTACAATAACCAGAGAAGAAAACAATGGAATCGGGGTCTACTAAATTAATGTGTATTAGACTAATATCTATTTCATGAGTTTAGTGTTTTCACTCTATTTGCTTGCTTATTGTGGTTATACTCTAGAAAGTGAATTATCTGTTTTCAAATTCAAAGTGGGAGTTTTTCTTATAGATCCCTACACCATRATTAATCAAGTTTTTAGACAGGACTTGGATCAAATAAAACTATAATATAAATAGACTAGTTTTGCCTGTTGCAGCCCAGTCTTTTAAAAAGCTTTTATAAAAGCTATTTCTTCTGTGAAGTAGTTCTATTTTTCGGCTACAAGTTTTATCATCTATAATTATAATTCTGTTATCCAAAAATAGCTACTCTGTATGTCATCATGCTACAGAACTGGTTAGATTATAACTGACATAAATGAGCAAATTTCAAAACATTGTGATTACTGGGTTGCTTGTGACAGCCGAGTTTAAAAACAAACTTTCCTCCATTTTTATTTTTTCCTGTTTAGGAAAATATCAGAGTTGCATAATAGTATGAGGGTCTTCATYACCCAAGAGTCCATTGCAGGAAAATGTACAATATGTAGGTAGGGTTCCTGTCTTGTATGATGTGTAATGCATGTGACAGTTGTCAATCAAAGCCATTAAATTCCCAAGTGATTGATTGGGGGTTGGGCCATAGGCATCACAAGACAGCTTGGCAGTGATGAGAGTCTCAGGTTGCCAAAGGTTGATCAAAAGCCTTTGGTGTTGCAAAATCTGTATTTGCAGTGCAATGTAGTCATTAGAGAGTTTTAGATTGACTTTTTTTTCTCCCCGCAAACGGCAAACGTGACCACGTTTTCATAGTTTTCGTGTATTTTACTTTACCTTTTACAAACCTTCTCACCAAGCGCAAATACTCTTTTGTTTTTCTACTACTTGGACTTTTTTGCGATTCTTTTGCAGTAATTTAAAAGAATTCTTTACTGGTCAACTGACGTTTCACGTTTGCCGTGAACGTAAATCTAAAACTCTCTATTAATAATGACTTCACTTGACTACAAACTTCGGGAACATTGAGAACAATGGGTTTTAGACTAGTTTTCTACCTTTCTCCCCATTATTGTCTTCTGCAACCCTAAAGTAGATAAAATGTGTTTTCTGAAAGATTAATAGTAAATCAAGCAGCATGAATGCAGTTCACAATAATTGCATCATGCACTTAAACTTGAACGTTTGTGGGGGGTCAAAACTTTTTATTTTGACGAAAGCCGTTTACTTGTTGACTTAATAGGAGGGTCTTGAATTTCTTACTGAGCTGTAAAGTGGGGGGGGGGGGGGGGTACAAAAATATTTTCAAAACGTTAACTGCAAATCCCCCTGCGCTAACATACAGCCCTCTGATTCTGTGGAAATAAGAATTTAGAATATATACACTTATTTCAATAAAGTTTGTCGCCTGAAAAGCTACAAAGCTGAGACCAACAAGGATTATGGGTAGTTACATTTTGCATGTTTCAACCGCTTTAATAATTTGATGGATTTTAGATCTTCTACCAGTCACAGTCTCACCTCTTCTGAGCATCCTCAAGCTGGCAAATTGTAGCAAAAGCTTGACTTGCTTGATATTAAAAGTTTCCCATGATCCTCAGTGATCTCAGCTTTCTAGGTTATTTAGTGACTAACTTTATTGAAATAAGTGTATATGTATAGACAGCATTGATTAAAGTACATAATGATATCCTTGAAGCTCTTGATAGTCAGAAATGTGTTATTCTTCTGCTATTAGATCTGTCAGCTGCATTCGACACCGTAGATCACCACATCTTGCTGGATCGTCTAAAAACAAGGTTTGGCATCGCTGGAAAAGCACTCAACTGGTTTAAATCTTACCTCTCTGATAGAACATTGACAATCAACGTCCCCAATGGTGAATCAACAGTACGACCTCTTCCCTTTGGGGTCCCACAAGGGAGTGTACTTGGACCTGTACTATTTTCTATGTACATTTCGCCTCTAGGAGACCTCATTAGGCGTCATGATATGGAGTGTCATCTCTATACTGACAACACTTAACTGTACATTCCCTTTAAAGCCAACTGTGCACAAGAAATGCGCTAAATGAATGTGGCAAGATCTAGGATAGAGACGTGTGTACRAGATGTCGATGCATGGATGACTTGGAACAACCTCAAGCTTAATACAGACAAACCAGAATTGTTACTATCGAATGCACGCCATCGTCCTCGACCACCCCTGAAATCGCTGCCAGTATGTGGTGATGTGATCCACACAGCAGCTGAAGTTCGTAACATTGGAGGACTGAGGGATTTAACTTTGTGTATGGACCACCATGGCATGAACATTTGCAAAACATGCTTCTATCACTTAAGGAACATTAGTAGAATAAGAAAATATCTTACTTGAACTTGATATACTTGCCAGTATAACTAGGGAGGTGTCCCTGGTATATATAACTAGCGTGATAAAGAACAATTGCGCATACATTAAGTTTCAGACACCATAACGTATCGCAAGGCCYGGATTCCGGATTCCAGAGTGCTGGATTCCGGATTCCAAAACCTAAAATCTCGTGGATTCCGGATTCCAGATTCCCTTACACTGGGTGGCGCCCCATGTAAGGGAATCCGGAATCCGGAATCCGGAAATCGGAGTCCGGAATCCACGAAATTTTAGGCTTTGGAATCCGGAATCCAGGCCTTGGAATCCGGAATCCAGTTTATAATGGAATCCGGAATCCACCCTTTTGGATTTCCGAAATTATAATGGAATCCGGAATCCGCTACTTTGAAATTCAAAGTCTACACTCAAATGCTATTGCCTCGACCTAGACTGAACCGATGTAGCCCCTCCCCCTCTGTGTAATATCTCCACCAAGAATATCTCTCATTAGATGCTGATTTAATTGATAGAGGATTCTACTTATACTGGCAAGTATATCAAAWATAACGATTTTCAGAGAAAGTCTCTGAAAATTAACGATATGGAATCTGGAATCCGCAATACAAATGTTTTGGAATCCGGAATCCAGACCCCTAGAATCCGTAATTAAGAGTCTCGGAATCCGGAATCCACCATAAGTCCGGATTCCCTTATATGGGGCGATGGGCTAATCCTTTCATCGTAAAAGAGATGAGGCCTCTTATACCTCCCCGTTTCTACTTCAAGCTTATGGTTGCTAATTCTTAATTTTGTAAGCGCCGGCCACTCTGTGCTTAATATTGGTGACTTGACTCAAATATTCTTAAAAGTTATAAGATCCGTTTTAAACTGACGAAAGACTCTGAGTTTATTTTTATGTCTGTCGTCTTTCCTTTCATCATTGTGGAGGATACTCCATAAAATTTACCTCTCAATGTCATATATTCTTTGGGTTATTATTTTTCCATATTCATACCATCTTGGAGAAAGTTCATTTTGTTTTCATCCAAATTATCCCCAATCCGAGTTGTTCTAAAGTAGTTTTVATTTTTATGCTCCAAAAGGCTTTTTTAGTTTCATTTTTAATATCTTGGTAGACTTCGGCTGAAAGTTTTTTTGGGTGTAGTTCCGACTTTATAATTTTATGCCAGAATTTAAAGCTTCTACTGCATGCTTTGCATTTTAGCGTAAATCTTCCTAACTCAGCTCTGCATGCAAGGTTACTAGCATTCTTTGTCACCTTGAGAAGCATTTTGCAAAATTTCAAAACTAACAAGTTCCATGGGCTCTTGGTCTTTGGTGATTAATGTTTCGATACCC